AAAGGTTGATAGTAACTTTTGCATATTGGAGTTATCCATTCACATTGTTCAGTTGTGTTTTTTCATTAAAACTAAAAACGCAGAGGCAGACTCCAACTGCAAACATTAACACCTAATAGATGCTATTTAAAAGAAATATCATCAGTCATCTCGACAATAACATCATTAAAAAAATAAGCAACAATCAATAGTCAGATATCAAAAAATGATCCAAATAACAATTTCAATTCAATCAATAATACCATTGATAAAAACCAATTGTGATAATCCTTTACTTGTCATACCACCATAAACATGTAATCCCTTGGAATACTTATCCACCTCCCATAAATCTAATTCTTCACTGTCGAAGACCCATCGTCCATGATGTTTTGGATTACGACCATCAGATAATAAAAAAACTTTTGAATCAGTAACTAAAATTTTTCCCCATTTGATTATAGTATTATGATTACAATTTAATCTTTTTTCAATTTGTTTCCGAGAAAATCCATCTTCTTCCATTTGGTTAATACGTACGCGGGTAATTAAATTTTCAAGTTGTCCGGAAGTAAGAACAATCTTTTCGTTGTTGCTTGGTAGCAACGAGCCATTTCTTTTCAAATAAGTTCTTTCTCTTCTTATCTTATGCATAGTTCAATTTGTTGTTAGTGTAGAATGTGTAACCGTTATCTTTTCTTTCTGTTCTGACTATGTGACCTTGTCACTTGTGGGTATTTTTGATTCTCTCGAATGAATTATACATGATCGAAAACTGACTAAATATGTAATGCAAAGATTTTTGCAAGAAGTGTAAAAAGTTTTCCTAAAAAAAGGTGTATAATATTCTTACATGCATATCTTTCTTATTTCTTGAGCAATCACCTTTATTTTTATACCATAAGTACAGTTTTAAATGCTGTTTAAAATGACTATTTATTTGTCAAGTTTACTTCAGTGGTTGCAGAGATATATTGCTTACAAAAGTTCTGTGAACTTTTTGTCCATACCTTACCTGAAGAAAAGTCC